CCATGATTACATTTGGGCTAAATATTTACTCATCCAGTAATCAGGTGTCTTGTTGGGTTATTTTCAGGACACTTAAAGACGTTGCTATGAACAAATGAATACAATACTCGAGACTTCCAGGAACACAGCTCGTATTGTTGAAAACATCGGATTGAATAGAGAACAGTATAAAGCAGCACGTAGCATTAAGTTGTAAACTCCAAGTGACTATTGCGCATGCCTTGAGTGCAGGTTACAGTCTATTACTATGACGTCATGAATATATTCGCGCAAAGCATTATTATGACCTTAAATTAATATAGAACATCATCACGATACATCTTGTCTGGTCAATCTATATCACTTCTGGGTTCTGATCAAATGCAAAATAATTACTAATAAACGGACTTTTCGGTATTTTTTAAAACACCTTCTGCGCGGATTTAGTCAAGAGGAAGAAGATACGAGTAAATGCGATGAAAAACATTGTCAAACAAAAATTACTAGCGAAATAAGAGCAATAAGATGAACCTAATGATCACCAATGTAAAATGCCTCGACAAAGTTGAACAAGAAACAATATTTGAATTAAATCAAGAAATTTTTTCAACATTCCTCACAATTGACTGCTCTTTGTTTTTATTATCTTGCTGTAGGTAGACACTATTCGTGGACTGATTCTCCTGGATCGTTCGCAATCTGTTAAAGAAATTATATGTGCATTCATCATTAATTCTCACTGCCACGTTGAATACTTTCATTATTTACTTTTCTTCAGTTTCGATGAAAGTGCGAGCACACTTCATAAATGATTCACTGTACTTGTTATCACGTTTCGATGTTTGCAGGCTTATATCCTTGTTCATAGTAGAAGTGCCAAATTATTTTTGTACCCATACCTACAAAATAAGCTGTGTAAATGCAGGGTTCTGAATCTCGGGTCCGCGAACCCTCTGGGAACCAGTATTGAAGTGATGTCAAAACTGTTGCGTACAGATTTTAACTGGACGCTTGTTCTAGCGTACTTCGTGAAAATTGTGTTTACGCAGATTCCCAAAACACAGAAAAGTTGTCCGAATGATTTGCCATTAGTCAGCATAGGGAGCAGGGGGGTTGAAACAGGTAGTTTGCACAGGGCTAGCGGGTGGAGTTGGGTAGTAAAGTAATCGTTTAGTTCGGACAGGGTGGAGTCCGGTAGTAAATAAAAAATGGAAAAAATGAAAATATTTTGTTCCCATTTTTATTGGAAGAAGTCAAGAATTAAATAAACAAGTCAATTCAATTTTATTTTTCCTACCAGAAAAAATCAATCCTATACAATATTCGAGAGAAAAATATTATCACACAATTTACTGGGGAATGGAAGCCGCGGGGAACCAAAGCTGGGTATCGAGCAGTGACCAAGGTACTTTACATTGGATTGGGCATCATTAGAATATACGAACATTTGGCATTCGATAAAGAATATTAAAATACACAGTAACTATTCTTAAGTACCTACTCGCTACAGTACAAATATCAGATTCAAAAAAATGTATACATAATTATGTATTGTCGGCGAATACCGTATGGTTCTACCGAATTATCTGACTAACATGCTAGAAATAGATATTCATGAACAAGGTAAAAAGATTACTTCAGATCTATCGCGACGTATCACATAGCGTTGTCGCCATTCAGCAACTTTTTCAAACCGAATAAACCATTAGGCATGGGTATCTACGCTAATAAGGACGCTTTTTTTACTAAATATACATGGAGATGGTCAACAAAATTGTTACACTTTTATTGACGATTTATTGTATCCAGATCAATACATTTAGACCATTGAATTATAGCCGCAATTACATGAATTATGGTATTATGCTACAAATGATTCGGTGTGTTTTAAAAAAGTCTCTTAGATTTTTGCTTTATGAAATAGATCTTTTGCATGTGTTTGACCTTTAGACCTTACACCTGACATGGCAAACCACGGCCCGATGGCCAAATCCAGCTCGTTGGGTAATTTAATCCGGCTCGCCTGATGCTGCCACAACCAATTTAAAGCTGAACATTGAGAATTAAGCTAAAAAAATAGCTCAAGAAATTTGTTATGATTGCGATTAAATTTAGTTTTGGCACGAGGCTTATTCATTTCCACTTTTTCTTTTGTAACACTGTAAATATTGTTCATATTGTAACTTTTTACGTCACACTTACATGACCCCACGAGTCTAAGTGGACAAACTTTTTGGTCCCTTGTCCTAAAACCTTGTCCATCTCTGCCTTAGGCATACAATGAATGCATCACAATAATGAAGGTATTACACAAAAAATAAAGCATCTCTTGGTCTCCAAGCACTTATTGTATCAAACACTCTCGAATTGTGCCCTGTAGGGCATGTCCCACTGAACCCCGGTCCATTGTTCCCCATAGGAAACAAATATTTTCAGACCATCCCACGGCGAAATTCGGAAGGCACATCCACTTGCCAACGTTATGAATATTTTAAAGTGTACTGAAGCTGAAAAATATCAGACGGTGCTTTGTCATGTTGGAAAGGCTGAAGTCGAAAAAAGAAAAAAATGGAACGGTGAAATTTTAGTTCCAACCTCCCCAAACCAATTTTACCTCATAGCTTGCGCCGCTCTACCCGTCCGTTGTCCGTTCGCGGGGACGTTGTAACTCACCGAAGGGCGGATTGAAACATCGAACCGCGAACAGGATTGCGGATATAGTATTAGTGTGAGAGCTGATTTTCCACTGTGCCCCATGTCCCAACGTGCCCCACCTTCCCCTATGCATCTGCGATGAAGGCTGGACAGGAGTAAATTGTAAGTTACGTAAGTACATCAGTCATGAGTTTAAAGTTTGCATTGTTTTTGTATCATCTCTTTCGAAACGCTGCTTATACTTAGAAAGTGATTCAAACTTAGAAGTTACAACCATAATTCGCAAAACTCTACAATTCAAGATTTATCCTGGAAAAAAAAAGTATATATATATATATCAGTTAGGCTTATCGTTGCCGAATAGATACTTTTTCTTGCGAAATAGACTAATAAACAGATCAGATATATTCATTTTTTCGCTTTACATGTTCACTCAAATAAATTTCTTGAATTTTTTTTTAAATATATATGAGTTATACTTGTCTTGGCAGCATGCTAAGCAACATTGGAGATGAATTTGGGGCACGACCGTACAATTGTGGAACTCCCAGATGATCTAGTCCAGTAAATTTGAATGATGAATTTCATCTACTCATCCCGTCCATAAAGACAATTGAACGTGTCTAGATAGCAGATTTGAAAATATCAAACTTCTATCGGCACGGTCTCCATTAATTTTCTTATTACTTATCGATCTTAAGATCGGTAAATATATTGATAGGTATTTGTCTGTATGTATGTCTGTCTGTGTGTGTGTCTGTTAGATGAACGCGATATCTCGCGAATGCGAGGTTGAATCTGCTCCAAATTTTGCATGTGCATACATCATATCTCGGACCAGAAGCCTATTGATTTTGGGTTGATTATGTCGTATATTTAGCGAGTTATTAACTAATTACCGATCTAAGATCGATAAGTCTTCGGTCTCCGACCGATATTCTCGTATTATATATTGAGTTAGCAATCACTGTACTTAATATATATACATATATATATAACTAAAAAATGTTAAACGGCAATTTAAATTGTCAAATACAAAGAGACTCATAATTGCATGCCCATTTAGTTTTATGAAGTACGAATGTAGGCTATATTGAATATACCCCACCTAATATTCAAGAAATAAAAGCGATATTTTATAATTTGCACTTACTTTGCTCTATTTTTTTTCAAGAGTTCTTTAGAACTCAACCCTGTAGATTGCATTATTCTGGTTTCATAGACGGTCAAGTGTGTTCCACTTCAGTCACACTCACGACTTGACTTATAATTCAATATGCGACAACGTTTGGATTTTGCGAAATCTTTGAAATAAGAACTACCGGTAACTGTCATCCATCTCTCTCATATCGGGATCGTTGCGACGAGAAAACGAGAGAAATAGCTCTTCGATTTCGGGTGCCCGTCTCGAATGACAGTTCGTATAGTTTGAAGGGCTCTATTACGTCACTGTGAGGTCGTACTGACGTAATTTTTAGGTGGCGTAGTCAGATGGGGGTTAGGATTGACAGATAAAAATTGTTATGCTACGTCCACTAGAAGTATGTTAGGTACGAAACTACATGAGACCCCATTTTTGTTGGGTCTTATTTGAGCAGTTACAGCGTTTATTTCTCATCGCAATTTTGTTAGGCGCTATTTAAGCAGTTACGGCGTTTACTTTACTAGACCCTTCATTTTCACACCACATTTCTGTTTACTGGTTTAGGGGTAGTTACAGACTTAAGCAGTTACGGCGTTTGCTTCACGAGACCCCAGTTATTTGTTTGAGATGCATCATGCATGGACTTAACGATAGAGGAAGATATACCGTACAGATGAATATACCGACCAGGAGTTACTGAGTTATGTGAACCCACCCTGAGATCAGAAGATGGAGAATGATTGATTGGTCAGTTAGTAGGGGAGTCCAGCAATCTTCTGGCATACCGGTATAGCCTAATTGTCCTCCACCGCATTCAAACCAGCGAATGATAATCCAGTAATCAGAGGTCAGGAGGTGCAATGTCAGAATGTCAAGCATATTCCTAACCCATTACTGCATTAACCCTTAGCATGCTACACCAACCTTTGAAAACTACAATTTGTTTGTCTTAAATGCATAAAATGGAACATGCAGCGGATAAATAATGCATTGTATTATTGCAAATAACTGATTTTAATATATTGACATTGCATATGAAAACAAACAAAAAATATCTAAATTAGAGACTATTGAGTGATTGGTATGTATTGTCATATTGTGGCTAGTTTTTTCAATAATTGACTTGCTCATAAGACTGTACAGCCCGACAGCTGTAGGATAGCATAATTTATACATAACCTATATTTTGGATTTACTGTTTTTACGCTTTCATAATCTACAAAATAATTCATTAAAGAAATATGAAGCTTATTGCTGTATTGTAACTAGGTATTTGATTTGAAGCCATTGTGATTTTTCCTTGAAAAAGGCACAAGCAGTGCCATGGCATCTCATCTCTCTACTGGTGTGGTAAACCTGGCAATGGTCAGGGAAGAAGCAAGACGAGAATTGTTACGTTTACTTGACAAGTGTGCTGGACCGAAGGTAGATCTACTATAGGATTTTATTTTGGAAGTTGAAAAAATTACATTATTAACTCGTATGTTAAACAGGGTGCCATCTAGCCTCCATTGAAGGTTTAACTTTTCATGCTCATCACACCACACTAACCCAGTCGGACTGCCCATAGGATTAGCCTTTGGTATCACAAGATGATATATACGAAAATTTGAGCTGAATGTATTCATGCAACATTCATTTTTTCATACCACGCATGTTTACATTTGTTTGCTTTGTATGATGTCTATTCACGTTGACCAAATCCCTGCCCTAGCAACCATTGATATCTAACTACAGTAAAGAACTACTATTTTTTCATAGGGAACACTATCTGTCCTGTTAAGCATTGCCTACCCAATTCATCACACTCTTGATGAGGTTGCGGGCATGGGATTCGAACAGACGATGACAACACGTGCTTGAACCGCACACATTTATTTATATTACAATCGAATAAAAATCTATTCGCATTATATTATCAAAATAAGCGATGACTATTGTTTTATTACCAGCTTTATATGTATCCTCTTCAGCCATGATCTCATTAAAATATTACCTTTCTAGGCATTGGTTTGGGACTATGCTCTCACAGATCGATTTGGTCTCATTGCTGAGTTTCCGCTGCTGAAAGAACATGAGGTTGAGAGAATGTTTCCACTTGCTGGAGGAAAACTTGCAAAATCTACTGTACAGCATATTATATTTATAACAAGGCCAAAATTAGATCAAATGGACTTTATTGCTCAGAATATACAGAGAGAGGAAGATGGAACAGGCTTTGGAAAAGAGTTTCATGTCTTCTTTGTACCATGGAAAAGTTATCTTTGCCTTCAAAAGCTGGAGGTATTATTTCTTCGATATTATAATAATTTCTCTTGCCTGACAATTATTTTAGGATCCTTCGAAATCCTGGATGTGTGTGACTGGATATTATACGATTGGTGCATCTTGCTATGCATGAGAACACACTCACCATCACACCTCTGATTACCCTGCGTGGGTTCACAGCTTTGAATTCTGTGAGGGAATAATTTGTGCGGAAGGATTGCTGGACTCCTCACCACTGTAGGTTGGTTAACGTAACTGCTAGTCAGTTACAGCTACCTTCACCATCAAGTTCATGTCTCTGAAATGAATAACAGGCTAATGATTCCCATGGCCTGGTAACCAAACGAGTGGCCGTATGATTACTGCTTTGTCGACTTTCCTTCCCCCAATGGGTTAAATATGAAATAAAATTGCTTTTATTTTTACCAGGAACTTGGAGTTTCAAGCATGCTGAAAAATATAGAAGAATACAGACTTGATCTTATTCCTCTGGAGTATGATCTTCTGTCTATGGAACATTATTCTTCATTATTTGACTGCACAATCAATGAAGATTACTCGTCACTTTATTTGGTTGCTAGAGCATTGAACAGCTTACAGAAACAGTTTGGAATTATTCCAAATATTCATTGCAAAGGCAGATATGCCCAGGTATTCTATGTTTAACATATAAGTATTCAATTTTGACGTGATGGCATTTGAACATAAAATCCCATTAAAAAAATTATATCTATCGCAATTCCAAAATATTGCTTTATTTTTTATCGGCTTAGTAATCTATTTTCAGACAGGGATAGTGAACCCACCATGTCATTCTCGCCAATTCATGATTTATTTTGAAGAACAAAAAAATTCGTAATATGGCCAGCCCTAATTCAATCTGTCCAATAAAACACAATGCAGGATTATAAGACTTGTCGAAGAGATGCAACAGCAAGTTTTTTATTGATGCAGACATTGTATAAATCTATGACCCTAAATTTTTCATCGAAACATGAGATAAGATATTTAATTTTATTACCTTTGTATATCAACTCCCTGACCAAGTGAGTATTAAATGTAAATTTATTTGGGGCTCCCGAAGTATGCGAACCAAGATGGCGGGCATCGGAATGTAATATGTGTACTAGGTTAGGGTTAGGCCATAATTTTAGGTATAAATACTACGGGAGGCTCTTGGCTAGTCTTCGAACTGATAATAGGACTAAAATAAGGAAAACTGGAAAAAAATTATCGCCTAACCCTAACCTGTTACCCATGTTACGTTCCGATGTCCGCCATCTTGGTTTGCATACTTCGGGAGCACGCATTTATTTTTTATTCATAGATGGTTTGTGAAATTATGAAAAGAATCCGACTTGAATCAAAAAGTAGTGAAGATGAAGGAGAAGTTCCTCCACAAATTGATAGATTATTGATTCTAGATCGTTCTGTTGATTTATTGTCGCCGCTCGTTACCCAACTGACATACGAAGGATTGATAGATGAAGTTTATGAAATTAAAAATGGTAAATTCTTGATCAGCAATCAATATTTCAAATTGGATCATGTTCTACTAGAGCCCTGGGGTCAAAGTTCATTATTTTTGCACTGGATTCAGAGTTGAGGCTAGAGACATATTTTTATAACTCCCCACAGTGGAAATTGTGAATGCCCTGAAGTCAGTAGTTGGAGCCTTTCTCAATGGTGATAAATGAAGTCAAAACTTTTCACTAAAACTCAATGGGCATCTATTTTACTGGCGCTCCAGAAGTATGTGTACCAATATGGAGGTGACTAGTTTTGTCCGCCTACTTTGCATCAAATTGTGTAGGGAGGGACTGAACCCCATGGGGGTATATTCACTTGGCTAACACAGAAAGTACCTGAACTCCCTAAACGTCCCTGTAAATAACTAAAATAAGGAAAATCGAAATAAAATTATGGCCTAACCCTAACCTAGTACACATACTACGGGAGTACCATTTTAGTAAACATTCTTAGCAGTCTATTAATGAAGGCTTGCATACGCCAAAGTGTAATCAAAAATTGATTTTACAAGAGGTGAATTCAAAATTTTCAACAACGCGAAGTTTTGTGTTCTGTATGGAATTCAAGTACATTCGATTAACTCCTAATCCTTATCTTTTGTTGCCTTTAGCAACTGCAAAATTTCCACCTGAAAAGTTTTCCAAAGAAGGTCAAAATGATGGAGGCACTACTGAACCGAAGAAGATCATACTCTCATCCAAAGATGAATTATTTGCAATACTACGAGACAGAAACTTCAATGCCGTGGGCCCCACACTGAAAGTGACAGCAAAGCAGATTACTGAGCAGTTTGAGGTACTGTTTTATTTATGTGTGGAAACTTCTAACATAGTAATCATTAGTTTATATTTTCACTCTACTGAAAATACAGTTTGTACAAGCAGTATATAAAATAAAGTAAAAATGGCAATTAAGGTGAAGGGAGGCGTGAAAAAACAATGTTTTCTCGAACAGCGATACCCGTGATCCAAGCCTAACAATAATTCATACAAAAGTAAAATGTTGAATAATGAAAATAAGAAAAGTTTATATCAAAGTACTCAGGGGTGACCTTATTCATTACAAACAAAAATCGGTACACCTGTAGTGTGTGTACCAGGTTTGGGTTAGGCTATAATTTTATTCCGATTTTCCTTATTTTAGTTCTACTATGGGTTAGGGGACTGTCTGTGTTAGCCAAGTGAATATACCCTGCCCATAGGATTAAGCCCCTTTACACAACTTGATGTAAAGTAGGCGAACAAAATTAGTTACCTCCATATTGCTACACACACTTCTGGAGCGCCCAAAAATCAACTCGTAGCACTGGTAAGTCAGGCAACCACAGGAACGGCATCACCTCAAGTCAGCCATAAGATTTTTTGATCTGGTTTGTCACCAATCCAAAATAACCACACTGTTCTATATTTCATGTACATGCGAAGAAACAGTAGTGAGAGTTTTATTCAAAGCTTCGGAGAATCTTGATAGATATCATTGTATTTTATAGGAAAGGCACGCAGCAAAAACAGTCGGTGAAATTAAGAAATTCGTTTCCCATTTGCCACAAATGCAACAGGCAAAAGCAAATTTAGCAAGCCACACATCAATAGCAGAATTAATCAAGGAACATACTGGTGAGACTTTCAAACAATTTTCATGTTTTATTCATAAGAAAAGATGGTATGATGGCATAATCATATGGTGAACCACGGTCTATTGTCTCTGTCAGATATGGGAATAGTTATTCAGTTCAGATGCATATACTTGAGAGTGGAGGACATCTACTGATTTACTGAACTGACCAGCTGTTTCTCGAACCACCTTCCAACATAGATGAGTTCAGCAATTCTTTCGTATATAATTACTCCCCACAGGTTTCAAACTTGAAACCCATGTAGGGTTCATTGTCAAGCCTGTTGTTGAATAGTATAATTGTTCAATTTTTCTTTTTCTCGATAAATTAGTAATACCGGTGAGTGGGATAATTGACCATGTCTATGAGACCAGAAAAAAATGAATCAGTATCCAAAAATGATTAGGTTTTATCTATAAATTACAACATGCTCAGATTTGAAGCCTTTAATTTAGCTTGTTCTGGCTCATTCTTGAAGTTCAGTTTTAAGGTAATCATCAAATCATACTAAAACCGACATTTAGTTTTCTTTTTGTGCTATAAATAAGATATTTTGTTCAAGTAAATCAGAAGTGTTTATTTTTAGATACTGAGGGATTTCTAGACACAATAGCTGTTGAACAGGAGTTTTTAAATGGAATCGGAACAGACAAAGTGAATCCTTATATAGAAGATTGTCTATTCAAGAAAAAACCGTTGCATAAAGTACTGCGACTTATATGCCTTCAAAATTTAACCAATAATGGTTTAAAGCCAAAGGTGCTCGATTATTACAAGCGAGAAATACTACATGTAAGTTTATGATATATTGACTTTAATTTGCATTAGGTCAACACTGAAAGAATGTTTTGTGTTGAAGTTTTTTTGGTACTCCCATAGTATGTGTACCAGGTTAGGCCATATTTTATTCCGATTTACCTTACTGTATTTTAGTTCTATTACGAGTTCGGGACTGTCTGTGTTAGCCAAGCGAATATACCCCCTGCCCATATGTTTTAGTCCCTTTACACAACTTGATGTTAAGTAGGCAAACAAAATTAGTTACCTCCATATTGGTACACATACCTACTTCTGGAGTGCCCAAGCATCCATTGATATCTAAAAATATTTAAGGATGGACATTTTTTGGGAGGACCTGACTCTTTTCAGTTCGACGTTGGTTACTCCAGTTATTACAACTTGTTTAAGGTGATGGGCATGAGATTAGAATCCGAGATGGCAACACAGTTTATTGTAACACTTTGATCGCTAGGCTAACGCGCTGCTTGTAATGTGATATCTTTACACAAATCTGTATTGAAATGAGTTCCAAGGACCCAAGTTCCACTTCCAAAACGTTAATTTTCTATTCAGGAATAATGAGTGATTAAGTATTGTCATAAACTTTTCTGGTGAAAACAGCATTTTGTCGCATCACCCACTAATCCAATGGTTCTCAAACGATGGGCCACAAGGGGGCATAGACAATTTTTTGAGGGACCGTGAAGCTAATTAAATATAAAAATATTTGTTAGATTTGATCTTGTCGCCTTATTTACATTTCTTTATCGTTTAGAGATTGCAGAGAGCTGTTGTTATTTTTATTTTCTGTTATATTACATTCACCATACTGAGGGGCATGGCTTGAAAAGTTGGAGAACCACTGTTCTAATCGAACATAAAATAAAAGAAAAAGTGAAATATAGTTAGAATTCCTATTGATTGTTTTGTACAGACCTATGGTTTCGAGAATGTCATAACGTTGAGAAACCTTGAAAAAAGTGGTTTGATGCAATTGCCATGCAAGTTATGGAATTACAACACCATCCGTAAATCCCTGCGTCTTGTAGTAGAAGACATCAATGAAAAGGTATACTTCACTTGAGAGTTTAAGATAAGATGAGATAGTGTAAATAACATTTTAGTCATGGTATTTGCAAGTGTTGACGTATCATGATAAGCATTAGGAACATGCTTGTTGTCGCACCTCTGTTCAAGTTTGCAGTTTCATAACCGCTGGCCAGTTATGGCTTCCTTCTGAAACAAGTAACTGTGTATCTATTCATATCTATCATACCAGAAATGGATTGGTAAACGGACAAGGGTCTTGATTTGCCATATGATTAAGCCATCTTATCATCATTCCTCTCACCCGAAATAAACATTAAAAATCCTAGTGTGCAATCCTAGGTGCAGATAATAGGTAATTTGCTTTATATAGAGATGATTATATTTGTGGATAATACAGTGGGATCGGTAGACTGAAAGATTCGCCTAATCTCATTGTTCAATATAAAATTATTCTAAAGACTAATTTAGAGGGAATTCATGAATTTATAGGCACCATATGTCATTCTCCAACTTTTTATTTCTCACTAAGCATACCTTTTATGTGTTTTTATATTTCTGAGTACTATCTATACTAATTCATTCCCATTTTTTTCTTTTTCAGGATCCTCGAGATATAGCTTATGTTCACAGTGGATATGCTCCACTTAGTGCAAGATTGACTCAAATCCATTCTCATCCTGGTTGGCGGAGTATTGAGGAAGTTCTACGCTTGCTGCCTGGTCCACCCGCTCAACCAATAAAGCAGTCAGCCCCTCGTAGAAAACGTAAGTATATTATCACTTCCTATTCAAGAGCTGTGAAGTGGAGAGTTGGGCATGTTTTTACTGAAGTTGTTTTTTCAAACTCTACAGAGTTGGAAGTTTGAATTCCTAGTCAGAATTCGACATTCATCAGGGAAAGCTTGCATGCTTAACAAAAGTAATTCAAATTTGATTTTTTGGGTCCAGTGTAGTTTCACACCTCAAGTACTTCTAGTGGGTGTAGCATAACAATTTTTGCATGGGGTAGGCCAACCCCCACCTGACTGCGTCATCCATGTCACAGTGATGAAGAAGGCATTTCAAACTATACGAACTGTCATCCAAGACGCACAGACAATCACCCAAAATCGAGCAAGCTATTCCTCTCAGTTTCTCGTTGCAACGTTCTTTATCGATGGTGCAGATGCCAGTTCGGGCGATCGTAGGCACACTCTGGCAAGCTCTACGAAGGTGCCAGGTGGGAGTTATATGCAAAAATCGTTTGGTTGTGGCCACTAGAAGTACTTGAGATACGAAACTACACTGGACCTAATTTTTTATCCCGGGTCGGTTGTCAATTTTCCCCCGTTTTAACGGCCTTGCTGATGGGTATTTGCAGAAATAAAATTGAACTCTTGTGTCAGTCACTCATTACTTATCGATCTTAAGATCGGTAAGTATGTTGATAGGTATTCGTCTGTTAGCTACACGCGATATCTCCCGGAAACGAGGATGAATCCGCTCCAAATTTTGCATATACATTCATCATATCCCGGATCAGAAGCCTATTGATTTTGGATGAATTATGTCGTATAATTAGCGAGTTATTAATTAATAAGTGATGGGACACAAGGTGTCACTATGGAGTAAGAGCGCTGTTTTGGGGGATCCCCTGACTTTCGATCGATAAGTCTTCGGTCTCTGACCGATATTCTCGTTATTACTTTTTTACAGGAATGGGAACCAACACTAGTAATGGATCGATTGTCACTCTTGTGTTCTTTGTTGGCGGCGTTACTTATGCAGAAATATCCGCTCTAAGATTCCTTTCTTCATTGGAAAGTGGTGGACCAAAAGATGAATATATTGTTGCTACAACTTCTATTATTAATGGGAACTCCATGATCAAAGGCTTCTTAGAGACTTGTAATGATAAATCATAAATCTAGCATCTTCTACATATATTATTGTGCAATAATTAATTTGAAATTGAGCAAAGTTGTTTGGCTTGCCAGAGATGGTCGGGGTTCAAGAGGGAAGGCGTGGTTGATATATTTGGGTCAAACATGGTTCGATCTTGTTGGTTTTGGGCATTAGAATTGTCATGTTAATGGCGTTGTGTGAAACTTGGTTGCTGTCGTTGAAACTGCACGCTATTGGCAAGGATATGATGAGAGATGAGGATATTCACCATGTAGGGAGCAGGTCTCATGACCAACTGTAATCTCTTTAATCATTGTAGCCGCACGCTTACAGCAAGAATAGATGAGAGATAACAGGTTTCTAAAACATTTCATAAAAAAATTTTAAATTATACATGCTTCAGACGGGTATTATTTGCTTGAAGTTCGTATAATGCTTCAGTTTTTCATGCAATCATCAGAGGAACAAGAGGCTACAATCCGATATGTTACTATAAGCTCCAATCGAAAGTACCACAAGGCGACAAAGCCATTCATTCATGAAAAGTTCTAATCAATCGATATGCTGATTGTCAGCTCAGACAGCTTCTCTCATGTATCCTACGATCTTAGCTTTTCCTATCTCGATTCCAGAACCCATTCCACAATTTATCAAAATTCTGGTCTCACATTAAAAACAAAACTTTTCTAAACATTTTATGTTTCGGAAAAGACAATGATCAACAATAATTTCGGTACAGAATATTGTTTGCAAGAGAGGAATCCCGATATTACAGCTTATCATGTCCTGCGGTAGCGTAGTTGAGAACTCCATATATTGTCTGGTCATCCCTGTCAATATCTCACCCAGGCTGATTACTGGACTGAACTTTAAACTCTTTCCTTTGGGAGAAAAATCCTATAACAAGTTATGGACACAGTTCAAAGTTCCAATATTTGAAAGAATATATCACCGTAAAGTTATAACAGGTGTAAAAATTTACTTCCGCTTTAAAGGTCAACCCTAATAAATATACAGCATTTTCCGATGACTAATCTGAACCTCCCAAATATCCCTTAACATTACGAAAACAACTCCCAGCCCTCAACATAACATAATGCAAACAAACGCAGACACGAATTTATGCAATATATTAACTATAATTCAGTTGAATTTCAATGGACTGGCATTCGTTGTCATGATTTTGTTAAAAGTACACAGAATGATTTGTTGCCTTAGATCGTTTTTAGACCAGTACAATGCAATGAGCATGTCCTTTGAACAGTTGTTATTCGTCTTTCTTCACCCAGTTGCATGCATTCTGAATACTTTATGTAAAAATAAAACAAAACGCTGTTAAAATGATTTAGTGAAAAAAATAATGGCAGTATGAATGAATTGAAGACCTGAGTTAATAGATTGGATAAAATAATATGCAAAGTAGTCCAAGATTCGAAATTAATTACCGTAAATATTAATTTTTTTTGAACTCCCTCATAAATTTTAAAACGTTTGAAATAAAACCCAAAAATGGAAATAATTTTTCTCCCCGTCCTCATAACATTCTAAAAATCAGTACCACACACTCCTTCCAGGAGTTTAAAATTATTCTTAGGTCACATCACTTGTCCCAAGTCCAAATACATATATAATGGCTCTGTAGTGATTATTTTCTTGCACTCCGTGAAGCAAACATTCAGTCACACAATCTGAATTCTTTCCATTCTCATTTGAACACCACTATAAAGTTGTACTTCAAATAAACGGCTTAAATTTTTTTAATACCTAACGCATGGATGTAATTTATTCTATACTATTATCCACTGAACCCATGGATAGTACAAAGGATATAGTATAATCGATGTAGAATCAAGAGTCATCATCAAGGTAACTATTCCAACCATCATCTGTTGAAACTGGAGGCTCCAACCATTTTGTAGGTATTCTGGTACCAGAGCTAGAAATGAATTGGTCCCATTGTTGCCTGGAAAATAATTGGAGTATTCTCAAATTAGGTCAGCTATGACATTTAAGCATAGATGAAAGGTACGGTACTCCCGAGGTATGTGAACCAAGATGGCGGACACCGGAACGTAGTAGATGTACCAGGTTAGGGTTAGGCCATAATTTCACGTACGAATACTACGGGAGTGTCTTAGCTAATCCTCGAACTTGTAATAGAACTAAAATAAGGAACTAATTGGAATAAATTATGGCCTAACCTGGTACACATACTACGTTCCGTGTCTGCTATCTTGGCTCACATACTTCGGGAGTACCGGATAAAATGCAAGGAAAGACACAAGACCAAATATAGCAGTAATATTGGGACTAACACAAATTGTGAGTATATCCAACTTTGAAAAAAAAACGAACAGATATCTTCAAAGTTTCACAGGGTGATTAACTGGGAATTGGCCTGAAATTCATACAAACATCACGCTAGAGATATTAATATGAAAGTTGGGTATGAATTGGTCATTATCAAGACTTGCTTTATGTATTGTTAATATTTGTTCACTTCCATATTTCAAGCAGTTAACAGCGGCAATATTTCAAAACAATAATGGAAAAACTATACCAGTTTCAGGAATTTTTTGTTATGAAGCAAACCAAGCGCAGAAAAAGTTAGCATAAATATGTATGAAAATAGGAATTGATTGCTCCATAATATACCTGGTGTTTGTCAGCGCAAATAACGTTGAACTCGCTTGTTTGTGTAATTCTTGTATTGGCCACATTGAATCAAAAGCATTCAGTTGATCTAAATGAAATGGTAATTTAGTCAAAAAGCAAAATACTTTTCCAGTTCTAAATCAATTAACAGACTAGATCTGCACTCAGCTACAGCGTGCAAACTTGGTGATCTAAGGTGAATGAAATGCTGGTGAAAGAAATCAATTCAAATTCAATTTTTAGAACTTGTATATAGAATAATAAAAAAATTACTAAATGCTTTAAAAACTTTTGAAACTATTTGATCACAAGAGCTGAAAAGGCGAACAGGGTGGCGGGTGGGATTCGAATCAGGGACGTGTAATCTGCGATGCCAATATGTTTAAGCCCAAAAATTGGGGCTCCCGAAGTATGCGAACCAAGATGGCGGACATCGGAATGTAAAATGTGTACTAGGTTGGGGTTAGGCCATAATTTTAGGTATAAATACTACGGGAGGCTCTTGGCTAGTCTTCGAACTGATAATAGGACTAAAATAAGAAAAATTGGAAAAAAATTATCGCCTAACCCTCCATGTTACCCATGTTACGTTCTGATGTCCGCCATCTTGGTTCGCATACTTCGGGAGCACCCAAAAATTTAACCGCTGGACCATCGACTTCAAATGCTATATCAAAATTTTAGGACTACATATGACAATTTTGCTGTAGAAAATAGGATAAAATATTACTGCAAAAGTGACAATAGCATTTACCATGCGTTCCGAACAAGACTTCCCAACGATGTTTGTTCCAATCATTATGTTTCTCCTCTTCAACTTTTGATTTTTGTTTTTTAATTTTATCTTCCTCTTTCTTTTGTTCTTCTTCCAGAAAACTTCTCAATGACTTTTCTTCCTGATTAAATTTAGCTAAAGTACACACAATATATTCTTTAGCTTCTGAATGTGCATTTGAAAAAACTTTATCATGAGTTTCTGATGCTTGTTGATGTCCTTTCTGAATAGCCGATTCTTTTCTTACTTTTCGAAGTTTTCCCAAAGCATTTATCATTTCAAGGGATTTTTTCAACTTCTCTTTACTTTGAGAAATTTCTTGTAAATGCTTGTCCAGCTGTTTTTGTACTTCTTTTTCCTGGTGAAACAATAATTGTTATTTATTGTTAGGAAGAAAAAGCTTTAAAATATAAGTTTGAAGCAAACAAAATTGGACAATATGAAGCAACCAGGGCTGGGAGTCACAGCTTGAGCCAAAGCTACCAGAAATGTTAGTAGCTTCAGCTCCTTCCTACCCATCTTATTATTTTTCCACATTTATAATTTTGTAATACACTGTATGAATAAATGAAATCTATCCCTCTCAGACTCAGCATATAAATTTTTTAAATTCAATTTGTTAAGTTTCAAGTTGAATTAGTATAACTAAAGATAAATTTCAAAATTTGGACTGATGTGTCGTGGTAGTCCGACTTTGAAGCTAAAAAATAAAGTTACAGACCTGGAGCCGGAGCCATTGTAATTTATATCCAGCTCCTCAGTCCTGGAAGCAACATTACTTTAACCTAGGCTTTAGTCCTTCACTCAATTTGACTTACTAAATATTCATTTAAGACTCAGTGATTCAAGTTATCTATATGAAATGACTAAGAAACAAACTACCAGTAAGACTCATAGTGATTGGCCAGACTTCGAGATAGAGAAATAGAGACTCTGATGACCTGTGACTCAACTTGACTTGCAGTTTAGGTCTTTTATGCATTGTTTGAGGAAAAAAAGGTTAAAAGATGCTAAATATCGTTTTTAGTCAAAACAATAGATTGGTAAGTGAGCCTTCGAGCTGCATCTAACCAGATATTACAACCGCTCCATACATGAGTTTTAGGAAGAGATTAATAATAGGAAAAAAGTACGTCAATGATGCCGGTAATGGGGTTTAGAGCCTGCCTCAGCAAAGTGATAGAACCCATGCCCTGCTTGCGGCGAGGTTATATTTAACAATGGCAACGTAACAGAATCTTGTATTTTGACTCCTAATTGAAATATTAATTTACGAATTTTTCAACTCACTCGTTTTTGTCTTTGTTCTAATTCAGCTTGTTTTCTGACCCATTCATCGAATTCCTTATGTTTTTGCTCCAGCTCAGCTTGTAATTGTTGCTTTTCCAAATACTTTGATTTTCTTTTTTCTTTCATTTTCTGTCTTTTCTTCGCTCGTTTTCGTAATTTTTCTGAAAGATTTGACACCATGGCTTCATCTGAGAGTTTGGACAAAACCTTATCCAGCTCTGCCTGTTAAAAACATTAACAGACAAAAAAAGAATGTTTTTTATATTTTATCGATAAACCTTATATAGCTCCTATATTGTTCAATATGTGACATCTATAATCCAATTAATATTTCACAGTAATATAGGGGGGGCAATAAAGTAGCCTAAAACTTCCAATCTATTAACACCGATGTACATCATTAAGTGACACATTCTAATTTTAGAAGGTCATCAGAGAAGACAGTGTGTCAAGATCAAATGATTCAAAGGTTTTGTATCTTCAGAATTTTGATATTTACCTTGGTGCGTGTCTTTATGGTCACCCTGTTTATGGTACTGAATCATGAAAACAGAAACGATAATGCCTGCTGCTTCAAAGTATGAAAAATCAGTAATTTGAAAAAAATCTAATTTTCCCATTGAAATCTAGATTTGAACATAATTTGGCCACATTTCGCTATCCATTTAGATTACAAATATATTTGCTATTTCATGAAGATATGTTATTTCTAAGCTTAACACTGTTTATACAAGGAGCAAGGACTTGCAGTTCAATTTCAGCATATCCTAGTAATCAAAGTATAAATATTTACCTTTACAATAGATGTCCTTGGATCATCTAAATTGGTGCTCGATAAACCCTTTAGCTCATTTGTTAGCTCACAAGCTTTTGCATGTAGATCTCGAACTTGAGAAATCTGTAAAAGTTTATCTTTTCAAAGCTCATTCACTTTGACACTAGGTTATAGCATGGTAAAGTGTACAGTGTCAGTGCAACAAGAACATGATCCTCATGTTAATCCAAAGGGGAAAAAAGTTTGACTAGACAAATTAATCAGATACATGTCCATGTTGGGTATGGAAACAGCAAAACCATTTACCGGTTGCAGATGCATGGACTCGGTGGTGGAGAAAGCCGTAACCCACCCACAGTTATGTAAACCACCCTGCAAGTAAGTAGTGCAGAACATCAGAAATTGAGGTAAACAATGTTTCAGATGTATTACACAAACTAAATAAATGTGGTGTTTCATCAAGTATACTTACTGTCATAGACTTCAGGATTAAGACAAACAGATGTACGTAACCAAACAAATTAAATGCGGCGTTACAGTGTTACATCTACTGTACTTACTGTCATTGATTTTACTGATGAATCTTGACATTCAGAAGACATTTTGCATTTGTGAACAAAATTCTGCAGCCAGATTTTATCCGTTTCGTTTTGTGACTGCATTGGCATTGCAGGCTTTGGCTGTTGAGGATTAGAATTCCATTGCATAGTCAGATTTGATCTATTATCTTTCATCCAAGGTTGAGATGGAGGTGTTAATCGCACAGGGCTGGAATATTCGTATGGTGAAGCTCTTCCTGGAATTGGCGGAGGGGTTGGCATAAAGGGTCTTTGAATAGAGTGTTGCTGTGTTGAATGTTGCCCAGGGGGCCATTGTTGAAAGCCAGGCATAGGGGGCATAGTAAAAGGTGGGGGTGGTAGATGTGGGGAAAATGGTGGTGGGTAAGGCATATTTGATGGAGGAAAACGGTGATCTCTAAACATATTGTAACTTTAATCTAAATTATAACAAATATGGAAGTTTAGTTTTTCTTTAGTCAACTTAATATATAAATATATAGACTGAAATTAACTATGTTGTAAACTATATACTTTCTATATAGGTCTATTATTGTCTATCTTTAAAGTTATGATTTGGCAGTAGGTGGTAGAAAATTTATAATAGAAAACAATAAATTAAAATTCCAATAGAAACAAATACTATATTATAAAAATAACAGAAACTCTCAAAAATGAGGTAAAGGAACTTCTCAATCAATTGGATATTGAAAATTGCAGAATAAATTTTATAAATTAATAAGAAATCAGTAAATGAGCTAAACACCACCATGTAAATAATAATCAAGTTGGTTGTAATAAATTGGATGAGTTATAAAATAGCAGACTTCAAGAATATCCGCCCAAGCAAGATCATGTACACTCATCTCGAGTAGAGTAGATTGATCTGTGAGAAAAGTTATGGATGACTAATGAAGTGTTGAGAGATACTCAGACTATATGGGATTGTTGTGTTGTATTAGATGTTAGCAATTACTGATTGGGGTTTGACTTGAAGAAGTTTAACTTGATATAGTCAAGAAAATAGCAATGATGTAGTAAATTCTGGACAGTTGGGGTTCTTGTAAAAGAATTTTGGCGCTCCAGAAGTGCGTGTACCAATATGGAGGTAACTAATTTTGTTCGCCTACTTTACATCAAGTTGTGTAAAGGGACAGAAGCCTATGGCCAGAGAGATATTTACTTGGCTAACACAGACAATAAGGAAAATCAGAATAAAATTATGGCCTAACCCTAATCTGGTACACACACTACGGAAGTACCTAAATTTTGACATTGAGCTTCTCATATGGTAAACCAAGCATTCCTACCACAGTAAAGTTGCTGTTCAATTTCTAAGAGTTGTAAGAACAGCACGAAAAAGGAGAACAAATACGAAATAAAATCAATCACAAACGAATCCGCAGAGTTGCTGCCTAAATCACACACCAGTAATACATAACAAACAAAAATCTACTTTTTGAAAAAATTATCTATTGTGCAAGACGGTTTTGATGTTGTTTTCTGTCGTTTCCTAGGAGGCCCTGAAGTCTTAGAACTCCGTTTAGTTTTTGTCTTTTCTGAATCTGAGTTCGCATAATTAGATTCAGATTTAACAAGTTCCATAATAGTTTTTCTATTAAGACAAGAATCTACATGAGTATTAAACTTTTCCAATGTTATATCCTGACAACAAAATGTAGCATTGCATAGCGGACAAGTGAAACATGTTATTTGTTGAGTTAAATCGTTATTATTTACAGAATTATCCTCAATTTTATCTTGCTTTTCCAAAATGCCAATTTCATTATTTTGCGTAATTCCACATTCGTCCAAATGTTTATTAAGAGCACACAGATCGTTAAATTCCTTTTCACATATTGGACAGTTGATTTCTTTATCTGCTGCATCATTGCACGGGTTTAAAATGTGTTCAGAAGGTTCTTCATTTGAAGAAGTTGTGCTTGCATTTGCGCCATTCACAATTTCACGTTGACCACCATCCTCAAGATCTGTAGTTTGAATGCTTTCACATTCAGAACTAGTGACGGCAGAAGAAGTTAGGCTTGAATCAGGGTGATATTCACTGTTTTTAATGCTACTTGCAAGTGTATCTGTGTCTTGTGATTTCTTTTTCGCTTTCACTTTCTGGATAAAATAATCCAGAGATTTCTGTTGACTATCTTTTCCAGCATTCGAGAGTTTAGAAAGTCCAACACCTGTGAAAGGAAATGATATTGTAAAAGTGATGCATAAAACAAGATCTTCATTCTCATTTTTAATACACTAACATTATAAACTATCGTACCTAATAATTTCTGTAAAATATAGCTAAATGAAATTTTTTGGTTACATTACAATGCGACAATACCTACAAATCTTTGATTATTTCAAATAAAGCAGCAAATTATCCCACAAAATGTATCATTTTAGAAAATTGTCAAAACTATCCCGCATGAAGATTACTTTAAATTATTCATATGTCCCTTAATAGAAAAGAGAACTACTTCAATGCTCCTCCCCTTGAAATAGTGAAACACATGAATAAAAATATAGAAATAAGCTTACATAAGTTACACATAAATCCACAGAAACAAAAACAATTCCTCAAGGAATTAAAATGGCGCTCCTGAAGTGTACCAATATGGAGGTAATTAATTTTATTCGCCTACTCTACATCAAGTTGTATTAAGGGACTGAAACCTATAATGGACAGGGAGTATATTCACTTGGCTAACACAGACAGTGCCCGAACTTGTAATAGAACTAAAATAAGGAAAATCGGAATAAAATTATGGCCTAACCTTACCCTGATACATATACTACGGGATTACCACTAAAATTACAGAAAAAAGTGTTTTATTTTCAGAATAATAAAATACTTACCAATTAGTCGCAATTTCATTTGTCCTTTGTTAGCAGCCAGTTCTTGTTTAAGCAGATCAGATATTACAGGATATATCTCACTTTTGCATCCAACAGGATAAAAGAGGGTTTTCGAGCGAGTATGCAACTACAATGAAAATATCTAAGTTTATTCTAAGACAGGCACTGGCAGTAGAAACATATGTACATGTAAGGCATTAATTGCTGCATACGAGGCATTAAGAACAAACTTGCCATCATATGCTATCAAGTCACTTGCTTTATCATATGGTGAACCATAAGTTAGCCAGTTATTTGTTTTCGAAAGCATGGACTTGTTGGTGGAGAATGCTGTAACCAACTAGCAGTTATGTAAACCAGCCTGCGGCGGCGAGGAGTCCAGCATTTCTCTCGCACTCGCACATAATCATCCCACATGGGTTTCGAACCTGCGAAATCATGCAGAGTAATCAGAGGTGCGGTGGCGAGCCTATTCCCAACGCTTAGCACGATGCTCCACACAGCCGAGCTTAGGTATAGACTTGATCAGAACCTCATTCAGAGTGCAAGGGGTGAATCTGTGTTGAATAAAAAAGCACCTCGAATGCAGCTGTTTTAATTTTAAGTGTGACAGTCATTCCCTTGACGTCTGCTTTTTTGACATCAGCTTCCAAAGCTTCACAAAGTTCCTCACATTTTTGAAACATTTCCTGATGGTTTGATATATCTCGGAACGTTCTGTGAAAAGATAAAAAAAAATAGACAATTTCAAATA